CCCCCTGGCCCCTCACCATCTCGTAGGTCTGCATGGCGAGCTGCACTTTGTCGTCGCTGTACTCCTTGCACTTGCTGTATGCACTCTGGATCTTCTGCAGGTGCTCTACCCGCTGCTCTGCGGACAGCGTCTTCACTGTGGAGATGTACTCCGCAGCCAGGATGTCGATCTCCGCTTTCTTATCTGAGAAAGAAATGGCTGAAAGCTAGTCCCTGCACAAGATGCCAGAACATGTTCACCAGATGGGCAACAAATGAAGCCTGACAATACCAAGTGTTGGCAAAGTGACTGACACGCACCCCGAGGCACTGTGGGTGGGGACACAGTGGACACAGCCCTCCACAGGCAGCGTGTCCACAGGCAGCATGGCATCACAGAGCTGGGCAGACGCTCCAGCCAGGACAAGGTGCCCAGGCAGTGCTGTGTACGACTGCTGTCCCAGGAGCATGCATTGTGCCTGCTCTGACTTTCAAGAGTTCCTGTTTGAACAATGAAGTGTGTGTTCACCTTACCTACAACCTGGCATACTACTCTTAGGTACCCACTCTAAAGATTTAGATGCCAGGATACACATGGGAAAACATCCATAACTGCAGGAAACAAGCAACAACCCAAATGTCCAGTCCTCAAAAAGAACCAGCTGCTGCTACACGGAGCAGCACCGATTAATCCACAAAAGGTGACCATGAGCAAGAAAAGGGACACACAAAGGACACCCTGTGTGGCTCATCAACGTCCAGGTGGGACAGACACAACTCTTAACTCTGGTTTTGAGGTGGGAGAATGCCTGCTGCAGGTGGGACTCAGGGTGGTGGCCCTGGGGGAGGGTCACACAGATCTTTTAAAAGAAAGGTAACAAATATTTTGACTGCATGGAGAGGATGATGCTTACAGATGTGACTTGAAGATGTTGGAGAACCCAAGGAACTAAGTTTGGTTTAAAGTATCAGCACTCTAAGATACCTCCCGAAGCCACAGCCTAGGGCTGGTCCACGGCCCACTGCACTGGGTCCCCTGGTCACCCAGTGCTACCCCAGGGTGCCTCCTCTTCCCGGCTGTACTGAAGGCCTGAGCCCACCTTCTGTCCTCTGGTCCAGCTCTCGCATCAGCTGGAAGTTCCTCTGAAGCTCACAAGGAAGGTTCTCGATACCTGAAACACAGGGACGTGGGCTTCTCAGGAGCAGCACACAAGTCTGCCTGCTGGGCCTTGAACCTGCAGACATAGCCAGCCTACTGCCTTCTCTCCGTTAGGGTTTGAGGAGGACGAGCATTAAGGTGTCCCCACCTATCAACACTGGTAATGGGCTCACACACTCCAGAAGCTGCCAGAAGCTAGAGGGCTCAGAGGTGCACTTAGAAACATGCTTCCAGTAGTCAGGAAAGAAGGCCGCGGGACTCCCCCGCCCAGACACTCCGTCTAGATTACCCCACCACAGCCGCCCAGTCCAAGCCCGGCAGTCCTCTTTGATCTTTCCCTCCTTACTCTGAAGTCCACGCCCTGGGTAGTGCAAACCAGCATGCAGTAGGACTTTATGGAGAGATGAAAGGGTTCTCTGAGCTGCCTCAAAATTCGGGCACTGGCCACACAGGGCTACTGGGCACGTGAAATGCGCTAGTACCGCTGAGGGACTGAGCTTCTAATTTCACTCAGGTTTAATTCATTTAAAGTTAAACAGGCCGTGCTGGACCTCACAGGTGGAGGACCCTACGCCATGCTGCTAACCTGTGCCCGCTGCCATCCTCCTAGTCCAGGCCAACGTCCCCACACACCTACACAGCCACAACAGGACTCCTGCGTCCAGTCTTGGCCCCCCTCTACTCTCCATGTGCAGTGATCATTTCAAGAGCTCAATCTAATCTTTAGAAGCTGATGCTTAAAGCCCCAGTGCTCCCCAGCTCCCCAGAGAGCCGTGAAAACTCCCTGAACAGCCCCCAGGCTCACCGTGCCCTCCCCAGACCTTCCTGCTCTGTCTTACTACCCAGGGCTCTGCAGGACAGGGCCACCCCCCCTGCTTTTGAGACCTGCTGGGCTCCTTCATGGCCCTTAATCTTCTATAAACTTTAAAAAAACCCACCTGCCCATGTGATAGTAAGTTCCAGGAAAATGGAGCTGTCTGCTTTCCAGGAGGTGCTCAAGGAGCAAGCAGGTGCCTCCTTTCTCAGCCTTCACATTCATGTTCCTCAGACCCTCCCACAGGGCCCACTAGACAGGTGGTGGGACAAAGAAGGGCAAACCCCTGTGCTCCCTAGCAGACACCTGGGTGCAGGCCTCTAGTGACAATGGGGGGCTCCCCTTCATGCGCTCTCCCACCAAACCAGTGCTCAGGATGGGCGAGGAGAGCAGAGCTAATGACCAGGATTGGCTGACCCACCTGGGGAGAGCTGACCCCACTGTCTCCCCAGATCCCTACTCAGCACCTCAGGTGCGGTGCTCAGGCCATGAAAATCCCCAGTGCAACACGGCCCCACGCCCCAGCCAGAGCTAGGCAGACCCAAACTGCGGGTGACCTTGACAAGCTACTCCGCCTCTGTGAAATGCGGGGATAGCCATCTGCTCAGGAGTGGTCAGGAGGGGCCACCTGAGCTACAGACGGACAGAAGGCGCCCTGCTGGAGGAGCCTCAGCCCTGAACACCTTAATCAGTCCCGGAAGTACCCCTGAAAAGGCAGGCACCCCGGGAGGCCCTGCAGCCAGCACCGCCTCCCCATCTTCCAGATGCACGAGGTGAGGCTTGGCGCCCGGAGCCCCCAGACCTGGGCCACCTCCCGGACCCGAGCGGGCGGCAGGCTGAGACCGAGTCGCCGCGCGGCGCGGGAGCAGGGC